AATTTCTTCAATATATATAGAGGGTATGAATACTTATAGGGCTGGCTATATACAGGGCTGTATAAGCTACCTGCTGCGCGTTCGCACGGGTGCAGGTTGCAATTGCAACCGACCAGCTGAGTCATCGAGGGCGCGGGATTGCAACAGAGGGTGTCCGTTAAGGGTTCGTGACTGGGCCATAGCAGGTACGTGACAGTGAAACAGTGAGACAGCAAGAACGGATCGTTTCTCGATGAAGCCCCCGTCGACTGGTTACACGCTAATTGATGAATGAAAACCGAGAAGCTCGTCAACGGAGAACGTTATCTATCCTCTAGGCTAATAAAAATCTCCGTTCCTGTACGCGCAAGGGGCACTCCCCTGTCAAACGACCTCGAGGAACGTATTTATCTTGCTCGAAGTCGTTATTTTGTTCGTCCAGCTCGACAGACCGAGCGATTCTGTTCGACAAGCCGCGCTCGAAACCACCCAATCATTTTTCCAATCGATTTGCCGATCATTCTGTACGAGCGAACGCTCATTTCGGGGAAATAGCCAACGGGACTTGGAGGATCCTTGGGCGGAGAATAGAAAGAGAGAAAAAGACAGAAAAAACGAGCCACTTGCAGGGGCCAATGAAAATTTCCGCCCCGTCGTCGTCGCAGGCTACCGTCTGCATCTCGCCGCCTTCGATCCTGGAATCCCTCGAATTCCGGGCAAATTTCGCGGACAACTTTTACAAATCGACGCCGAAGTCGTTCCATTAACACGCCGACTTGGATTAATCGCGACCCACCAGGCGATTTCTCTTCTCGAGCCTCGATTCGTCCAAGTCTATTCGAAATTAATGCAAAAGTCGAAGCGGTGCGTGATACGTTTTACCGTTCGATTCGAATGTGTAGCGGATCGTAAAAGTCATCGGTGGGAGTGCGACGAATCGTACAGGGATAGCTTCGTCCTCCATCGATCCGTCTGCGACTGGTTTTAAGTAATTTAACAGAGGCGGCCCCTGGACGCATAAACAAACACGTGAGCTCATTGCGCGTCGATTGAATATTCATGCGACGCCTCGTATTTACATTTCGTCGGGATTATCATAACGGACTCCAGGTCGGAACGATCCCGAATCTCGCCGAAGCTCCGGATTCGGTTGCTCAAGAAAACTCGACGGAATCACCGGCGGAAAAGAGCGAAGGGGAAAACGGAAAGACATTGCGCGGAGAAATGGTATCGGGTAGAACGGTCTCGCGAGACTTTGCTTGCCAGTGTTTACCCTGTTTTCTTTTTGTTCCCTTCCATTCTCCCCTCGTTTTCATTAATTATACGGGAATAACTACGACAGAATTGATCCCTCTTCGAGCACAGCTCGCAGTGGAAACGGAGGGGCTGCAACTCGCGTGGAAGCCGCGCACTGATTTGCCTAAAAAGTTCCTTTGTGGTTGCTATGGCGTACGAGAATTACATCGGTTATCGATTCACCCTTCCAACTCCAGCCGGTTCAGCCCTAATTTCCTCTGCGCTTCATTAAAATCATTGGACGAGTGTCGCTCGTTAGATTCATGGCTATACGGACTCCTGACGGTGCGTGGATTGAATTGTTACCCTCTTCCGTCTACGTCTTTGATGATCGAGGGATGACGAGCTCGCAGCTTCGATCGTTCGTTTCGGAGCCACCATTGGAATCTGTAAATAAATTAGATTTATTAGTTTGGATTCGCTTGTGTAAAAAAAAAAAAGTAAATAAAGTTAACATTGAAAATGGAGTACAACGAAATACTAAATTTATTAATTAAAAGTTTTGATTTTATTACTAAAATGTTACGAACAAGCCGAGTTCTTTTCAATACGTGGAGTTGCTCAAAGCTAATTGACAAACGTTGTAAGAAAAAAGGTAAGGAGAATTTCTAGCTGTATACAGTGCAGTTTTCACGCATCTGCTTAAAAGTCCTCTCTGGCGCTTCAGAAGGCGGGCTATATCCTAAACTTTCTCTTCGATTATTCTGCAGTGACAGATATTATTATACACATATCCTCAGATTCCTCAGCGCAATTTATGTTTGCAGTAAAGTAAAAGGTTGAGTTATAGTAAATATTCCAACAGCGTATAAACACCGTGACAGCTTTTGATTTGTTATTTATCATTTACATTTCAAGCCCAGTAATCTCGACGAACCCTCCGCGTACAGCATTTCCTTTACATTTAACCAATTTCCATACTCGCCACCCCACATGCTCCCCTTGATAACGGTCGTGTATTTTATAGTAGCGCGAACAAAGACGGCCCCTCATTTCTATAACGTGGAAATCCCGCAAAGACCGAATTATAGGTGGCAGCGGAATGTTACTTTGATCCAGCGTTTAGTCCAAGTCAGTGGGGGCAACCGAGCAGAAATGAACTCGCGATAATGATACGCGCAGTACGTAAAACGCGCCCTCGGATTCAACCCCTATTCCCCCCGCAGGGAAACTTCGCATCGACGCTGGCGTCGCGGAGGGGCTGATTCCGGCGGCCATGTTCGTTGTTCAAAATTTCGCGGTCGTCCCCCCCCCCCCCCTCCCCCCTCCCCCCTCCCCCGATCCTCCTCCCACGGTGGTCCCCTCTGCCGATAACAGCTTGCGCGACAAGTAAACCAACAAAGGGGAGCAATTTACGCGACGTGCGCAGTTTAGAGACATTGCGCACGTGCAGTTTCCACGATTTTAAACATTCCGATCTAACGAATTCGATCTCTTTTAACACGTTGGTCGCCGTGTCAGCCATCCAAGGGTGACAGAGCTTTTTATTAAAGAATTAAACAAATTAATTCTGAAGTCGTGCTATCGATAAAAATGAATCCGAATATTATTTGTGAATATGGAGCGGTTTGAAAAATACGTACCGTGACAGATGCTAGGTTACGCACTTTCCAATTGTCTCGAAACATAATTTTAACTACGTAGAGATTTTCACGATTATTAGCTTGGCGATCAACGCGTTGAATAATTTCATGCTCCTTATTATTGGAGACTTGAAAGAAAAACTTGAGAAAGAATTAGCACGTGGACGACGACCGTTTACTTCCGCGGTTCGAGGCTCACTTCCCCCCTTTTTCCTAAATACGTCATCCGACCAAAGATAAAAGAGTAACAGATGCCTAGATAATTGTGCACGTCCGATGAGCAAAAAAATCGACGAGAGTAAGGAGTAAGATTTACGCAAAGTGCCTCTTTATTTTAGAAGATTAAAAGTTTCCTAAGGAAGATTAAATTAATAATAATGATTTCGTAGCCATCCCCAGTAAATCACAGCGATCGCTACCAGACGCGTCCATCCATGGAACAGGGGATGGCGAAGAAGGGAGGAGAAAAAAGATCAAGGTCACAGGGTGGAAAAGCGCGCGAGCGCGCACGTGCCACGAGTGGCGCGCATTTTCACGACGATGCGGTCGTGCAGATGGGGCGGTCGAATGCAGGGGTGACCCCGGCGGCCATGTCGGTTTCCAATTAAACAAATGCCTGGTAGGAACTCGAGCAACCCCTCAGGCATAGGCAGCCCGTTTCCACCCCGCGGTTCCAGCGAGTTCCTCTCTGTTCCACAGCGCGAGGGGAAATTGCTGCGACGCACGTGTCGAGCAGCATGCGAAATTCGAGTACAGTCCGCCATTATGTACGCGTTACTCTCTATCTATCTTCAAAGATGAGCAACGTTTTATTGCAATTATAGATTAGTGAAACTATCGAAACAACAAGTGCAGAGATTTGTACTAGTTAAAATGCCTTAGCAAGTTAACAACTATTCTTTCGTTTATTTTCATTTATTTATTTGCTCCTTAGACGAGCGTGGCACCGTGTTGCGACACGTAGCGCGTGCAATCGCATACGTGCACGTGTTTGGAGTTTCTAATCAGTCACCAGACCGTTCCAGCGAGGCTGAGGCCATCGTGACAGTTGGGGGAAATCGTGTTACATATTCCGTTCGCTAACCATTGCGTGATCGAGCGTTCAGTTGGAATCAATAGCGAATGCCAGTAACCGATCGCGTGGCTCGTGCACGTGTACCGTAATCAGCGTATGCATCCTTTCTTATCGTGAATAAATTCTCCAGCACTGGATGATCCAGCTTCGTTCAATCTGCAACGACAGCTGTTCCCCATGTTTCATCTCAACCATGGCTACTTCGTTTCAATCTCCCATGTATTTTATTATCGATATTCAATCAGTCTGTATAAATATGTACATATATAAGCATATACATATTTATAATGAAAAATTCATTAACTATTATCAAAACTATTGTTTAATTTAGTTAAACTTCTTCGATAGACATAGAGGGCACGAATATTTATGGGATTGTCTGTATTTATTCCTTACGCGAGCAAGATGCATCATGAAATTCCATTGAAACTTACATCACATGTGTCTCTACTAAATCGTCGATTTATGTAGACGTTGTTGTACGATCGCTAGGTCCAATCGTTTAATCAAAAGAATTAAACGAATGCATGTAACGGATCTAAACTCGCTTCTCGACCAGCGATCATCCTCGAAACATCGAGTAATCTGACTTTTCCGTAAAATCCAGGCAGTCGTCATCGACGTAGATAACTCTCCGCGACGCGTCGCGCGGCCAAGAACAAGAACAAGAACAAGAACGTGCCGCGGATGCGATGAACTTTCATCGGCGATGACCTTATCAGGAAACTGTTTTTTCCTCGGGAAGAGTTCATCGCAATCTCGCGACGTTTCGAGAGACCGTGCACAAACTCAGGGGAAAAGGAAACCGGAAAACTAACGACGAAAGCACTTTCGATTTGCGTTACATTGCCAAAGCTCCAAATATTGGGGCTCCTCCGCTTGGCTCAGGTAAAATTGTTTGCGGACTCTTCGGTTTTTGGTTGTGTGGGACTCGTCAGCAGCGATTCAACGCGCTCGATGACTAAAAGAAACGTTTCCCATTTTGGTCGGAATCGTAAAATAATTTATTCTATAATTTCCGCAATTCTTAAAAATACATCTTTCGTTCTAACGTTCCAAACGTTACGAATTACATAAATAAACATTGTATTTTCGTTAATTAGATTCGATGTTTGAATGCTTTGTATACCTCGTTTACTTTATCTTTCGTCGCAGACAAAGTTATAGCTGCATAGCGCCGCAATGATTCCGTTGCGTCGCAATTATCTCGCGAGATGCAGTTCCGAAAAAAATAAATGCAACTCAAGTATGAAACACGGTGTTATCTGTGTTTCCACACGAAACGGAAAAATAGACACGGGTCTACGGAGGTGGGGGATCGAGGTCACATTTGCCGAGCTATTACGTTTGCGATAATTACGCGTGAAGATTTATCAAGCGTGTCAACCTGCTTGGCTTACGTCCTTTCTTAGGGCAACGTTCTATGGGGATGCATGGGGAGTTGTCGTCTCTGATCCTGGCGTAACCCTCCTTGCAGTAACAGGCGTCGTTGCATCTCTGCAAAAAAGTAATTAAACGACAATGCTCGCGGGGGAGTAAATCAACGAGTACGACTTTTTCACCGATCACCCTCCTGTTGAAACACTCACGATATTAACGATGGGACAATTTTCATTAAGATTCGAGCAAGTGGTTTGGCAAGCAGATCCACACGCGTACTCCTCGTTCCTCCTGTCGCAAACGAGGTCCGCAGCGAAGGTGGCTAAAAATATAACGAATTTGAACAGCGAACTCCACCGCAATTTCACCTCTCATCGATTCGAATTTCCGTGTTCTTGTCACTCGAGAGTGAGTCATAGAAGACCAATTGAAACCAAATAGTTTTACGAAAAGAAACGACTTTCGCTTGAGCGCGAAATAATAAAACATCCCAAAATGATGTAAATATAGAGTAATTTCTGAATACTTGCAAATACCGAAACCAAAAATTTCTAGAGGCTATTAAAAATAGGCGCGTTCACTCTGTCCGAACAAAGTCAAGAACCGTGACGCGAGATCACCTGAAGTTCGAAACGATCACAATCGATTATGAGGACACTTACTTGCGGAGAGAATGGCCAGAGCGGCGAACAAAACAAAAATTACTTTATGCATCTCGATGGAACGTTCGATATCTTGTTTACAACTAAACTGATGCATGACAGTCAAGATCAGGCTTATATACGTTGTAATAATTTTTTCCACATCAGATCGGTTGATGACTAAATGTCCCCGATGATATTCAAGGCTGCTCGCGTTAGTGTAATCCCCCTTTTTTCTATTTCCCCTCTTTCTCCAACGTTTGAAATCGCGACTAGAGTAGACGCTAACTATACATCGACTTGTATTATTAACGAGGTTAAATAATTGTCTCCTCGTGATAACAAACTAAATGGTTGAAACGCTATTGATAAAAACAATGTCAATTCGCAATTTGAAGCTACATTCACGTCATTTTCTATATGCTGTAACATGATCTACGTTGTCGATGTAAATCGACGATTAAGCACTCACTAGTGTTAGTTACTGCGTCGTTGAAGAAGAAAACGACAACTCGTGACACGAAAATTACACCTGTAAAAACATCACGTTTGTATCAACTATCCCTTATACAATTTCAACGTCCATACATTACCCAACAATAAGAATTCGATGTTTGCAGACACAAAACATTGCAATTTTTAAAGAAGAACTACGTTTTTCCCCAAGCTATTAATAACCATAAAAATGACGTTATAAATTGTATTACACGGACGGAACGCTTCATAGTTGGCTGACTACGATAACATCGTCCGTGTGAAAAACATGATTCTCGGGAACTGAAAGATACGAAGGCCTCCGGAAATTTCGTGTAACGTGCAAGTTTAACCATTCGATTAATTTCGGGGAATTCTAGCATCGAGCATGAGTCGCGTGTAAAACTTAATTCGCACACATCCCACTTTCATTCCTGTGGTTCAACTTAGCGACCATTGTCTAACCCAATCTACCATATATTTATGCACAGACCGCTCGACGTATCATCGCGTTTAATGTATAATTTTGTTTTATCTACAGCCTTCGCTAGTTTTCCTATCGGTCGTAGGTCGTTTAATTGGCAGTCACTGTTTGTTTCCATTTGGGTTTTTCCATAACAAAATTTGCTAACTAATCGACCTAACCTTCGTATGTTTTTAAACTACATCCTATTTCTACTCGGTGACCGAAAAAACGAAAACGTTTGGCGATGTTGGAGGTCGAGCAGAGCTGATTGGAGGAGTTAATATCGGGTCAGTGTGTCAGAAAGACCGTTTCAGGGGGGGGGGGGGGAGATGGCGAAATCGTGGCCCTTCATTGGCACAAAGGAGCCACGGTCGCCTCCTGCAACGCGACGTTTCACAGGGGTGAAAAGTAGAGTAGAGAAGGGCGCCAGAGAGGACGGGAGAAAGAAGGGAAATGGGAGACGAGGCAGGGTCTCTCGAGGGCTTGCAATCGAGTTTTCCGCTGTCAGTGGCTGCTGGTCGTCGACGAGGGAAACAGGGCGGCTACGCAGCCATTCGCACGCCTTCAGACTTCAGACGCCCGAATAGCTCAATCGAGACAGTGTCGAGGGATTGGCGACCCTGTCGCGATTGCTCGAATTAAACAAAAAAAAAAAAAGAAATGCTTTATGTATTCTGTTCTACACCTTTCTTTGCGCTGCTCTCCTTGAATCTAAAGGACAGTGGTCTGTGTGTGAACAGAGTAGAGGTCCAGAATCACTGGTCACCTTGATTACCGAAGGAATCGAGGCCCCACTGTATTCCCATCGAATTTAAATATATAAATTGCCGAGCAACGTATTCAGCGATCGTTCCTCTCGATCCGTCTCCCCGGAGACTCTCGACGAAATGATAAATTTTGTGGAGAGCACTAGACTGTCGCGACGAATCATCCGCGACTGGGAAGAGGGAGGATGAAAGGAGGCGTAATGGAGGAAGTTGGTTCTGAGTGCTCAATAATAAATAGCATTTTCGACTGTCGGATATTCGATTGTCGGCTACGGCCTGGCTAAATAAAAAGGTAAAAAAGGGGAGGAGCAGAGAGAATAAGGAAATGCAAGCGGAGGGATTCGGTGGGGTTCGGTGGGTCGTTGTCTCATCCCCACGGCGTTTAAAAGAAAAGGGAGCGCGGAATCGAGAATCGACGAGATCGATCGCTGGTTCCAGAGTCGGCTGCGTGATCCAACGTCCAACTTTTACCGACTCAATCGAGCGAAATTAACGTCGACGCTGTTCGCAGAGTTCTAATGCGGAGGTCGCTAATTGTCGGGCCACCACAACGTTCTGCGATTCACGGGTCGTACATGCATCGCACCAAACGCGTCGCTTTCGAACAAGCTTTTAGCCACTAATCACGCGTAGTATTAAGCCGTTTGCACATTTTTCCACGATAACATTGACCACAGCATTGACGAGTTCACGTTTGTTTTCCTACTGCAAGCAATCGTCAATGGTCTGAGATAATTATTCAAATACACATAATAGAGTGCGACGTCAAAACTTAGGTAACGCGTTAGCGAGGAATTATATAAAAGCCCGGTCGATTGGACGATAGATACAGAGTAGCTTCGACAGGCTTCAACAACATTAGACATCATGCTTCGCAAAATAATCATTTTGTCCGTCGTTCTAGCGATGGTGTGCGCTCAGGGTAAGTCGTTTTTGCAAAGATTTTACGTATTTCGATCGAGTGAGAGTTTGTCGTGTGCGGTGTTGTCGAGTATTTTATTGCATTTGTCGTGGTTTACGGTAGAATTAACCCTTTGCACTCGAGAGGTGACTCTCAGTCACCATTAGGTTTCACGCAGCAAATCGATCAGTAATAATGTTTCTTTAGGTTTCATTTCTCTGGAGCTCGAAGTGTCGATAAAATGATTGTCGGCGAGGTAAAGGTGACATTATTCTCAAATCTAGATAGCTTAGAATTCATGGCAATAGAATGCTAAGAAACATCTCGAGTTGCCGGTAGAAGGGTTAATTGTCGTTTCGGAGTAATAACGATTACGGAAATTCTTGCAGATTGCGGACCAAACAAAGAATGGAACTCGTGTGGATCAGCGTGTCCACCCACATGCGGCCTACCTGATATGCGCCCCTGTACTATGGTATGTTTATTTTTCGTGTATTGTACGTAAAACGCGTAATTGTTATGTTAAGTTGCATACAGCGACACTTCTTACAAACAATTTCATTCCGATTCTATTTCTGTAGCAATGCGTGGTTGGATGCCAATGTAAAGCAGGCTTGAAAGAAAAGAGTGGCGAGTGCGTCGAGCCTAAGGACTGCTAATACAATTCTACTAGAGGCTGGACAACGTCAGCCGAGACTAGTGGCGAGTTTAGACGTTACTATGTTACTTAATTAATTGCTTCCTTCAAATAAAATAATTTCATTCACGAAGTTAATCTGTGTATTCTGGCGTTCAACTGCGAACCATTCGAAACTACCCTGTCCCCTACCCTCTCAAAAAATACAGAACGTGTATCTACGGTGAAATTGATTATAGATAATTATTAGAATAATAAATACGTATATTTACATAAGTTTTCCGTTCGAGTGACCATTCGGATATTATTTGTTATTTTTCTCGTTAAATGTATCGCCGATGCGATTACATAATCGTTTCGATATGACAATCAAAATTTGGCAGAAATTACGCGTAACGAGAGGTCAAGTATTTCGTTCGCATGGAAACGTATAAAAAGACATACTAAAAAAATAACTATGCACAGTTGCTTTATCCAGACTCCGACAACATGCTCCGCGAACTCATCGTCGTAATCGTCGCACTGACGTTAGTGACCGCCAAGGGTAAGTAGATTTTTAGACAATTCTTACGTACTTCAAATGTCTAAAGGGGGAGGCTTGTCCAGTCCAAAAATATACAATTACTTTGTAATTGCATGAGAACAGAAACTCTCCCACACCCTTCATCGTCAATTTAAAGATCAGTTGCTCGATTTCTCCATAACTATTGACTGTCATTCGAACGTAGTTACGGTTATAGTAAAATGTTTGCAGTGGCGCCCAAGGAGTGCGAATCGCATAAACAATGGCTCGCGTGTGGAACATCGTGTCCACCCACCTGCGGATTACCGGATAACCGCCCGTGTATCCTGGTACGTTCTCATCTCCAGTATTTTGCACAAAACATGTGTGTAATCGAGTCTGAAATCGATGGACATGTGCGTTTCGTTTTCTAGGAATGCATCCCTGGCTGTCACTGTCAACCTGGCTTGAAGGTAAAGGACAACAATTGCGTCCTGCCTAGCGAGTGTTAACATTATTCGACTGTAAGCTTAACAACGACTACCAAGAAACTCGGAAGATGTAATATTGTTTATATGCTTGTTTCTATGAAATACAATTCGTAACGTCTAACAGCGTTGTATTATTCTGTCCGCGTACACCCCCACAGATCAAACACAAAAGATAATGGTAATATTGGATTAATTGGATCTAAATATCGCATTTAATCTTCGATAACAAACACGAATCTCGCTTCATTTTAAATCCTCACAGAGTCAGTTCTACGAAGTGTAGGGCGATAAGATTGCTAAAGGATCTTTATTTAATATAACAATCTCGTTATGTCGTTAATGTTCTTACTTCCACTCTACTGATTCGTGCCAAGATGCCACACGTGCAAATTATTCAAGACGGATACGGTTTGTCAAATCTAACCCAGAAACAAAAAATAGTTCACCGCCGGTATAAGTTTCTACCGAAGATCGAAACGTATGTCTTACTTTACGAATCGTGTCCATTAAGTAGGCTACTAGGACAAAAAAAGAAATGAAATGATCGAACAACTAAAGCACCGATCGTCCGAGAAGGTCGTCGACGAAATGAACGAATAATCCCGACAATTTCCTCGTCTACGAGCTACGGATGTAGCGCCAGTGTGGGATGGGAAACGAGATGAAGTGGGAGAGAGTCACGAGTCAGGAAAAATGCGTAGATCAGCGTGAAAGAGAAAAAAGATGTCGATCTTGGACAACGTTTCGTAACACCGCTATATAAAGCCAAGTAGTTTCGACAAGTTTTAGTGCTAGTCGTAAACTTCCCCGGAAATAGACCAACAATGTCTCGATTCGTTCTCGTTCTACTCGTCGCTCTGGCTATATTGTCTGCTGGTAAGTAAAAGACTACGAATCACGTATTATGAGCGGTGCACGAGAAAGAATACTAAAGTGATTGGATG